TATTTGTGTTTTCTCCCCACAATACTAACTTCCCATATAAAACACCTTGTGTATTGCAGAATTTTCAAGTATACGAAGTGACTGCGAAAGACTTAGATATTAATAGAAAAATCACAGAGGCTGAATGTAAACAATGGCTTGAGGATTCAGATATATGACAAGGTCCCTATGCATGGAAAATATAAGGACAAGTATCTGAAAATGGTTGAAAATTCAAGCATTCTACATTCTCTTACATGTGCACCTTACTTTTTAAAATGTGGTTATAAAAATTACAAATAGCTATCTCAAAGTAGATCTTAAAAGTGTCATGAAAGGGGTGACATTAATCAAGATGTATACTCATAAACTGATGTGTTGAATTGTAACCCCTCTAAGTACAATTACTTAAAGATAATAAAAATATTATTAAAAAAGCATCAGGCAAGAATAGAAATTCTTTTTAGTTTCAATAAAATATTGGGCTGTACTGAAGACATAAGTAAGCATAAATCTGAAATCATTATTGAATACATGATAAAAGTGTTAATCTGATACCATTGTGTTTCTCAGAATTCAATTTGTGGTTTTCTGCAATACTGTTTTAGAAATTTTCAAATAGAATAACTACTTCTTTATTCACAGGGGCTGTTTCCAAAGACCTCCCAAGCAGATGTGTCTGAAATTTCATATAATATTAAACCCTATATATGAAATCTATTTCTATATATACATATCTACCTTAACGTTTAATATGTAAATTCGACACAGGAAGAAGTCAACAGCAATACAAAACTAAACAATAAAACAGTTACAGTAATACACTGTAATCAAAGCTCCAAGAATGTAGTCTCTGTCTCAAAACATCTTACTGTAAGTAAAGAGCATCAGGTTCTTCCACTCCAGTCGCTTTACAATAAGGGACTATTGACGTTAGTGAGGAAGTGGTCCAAGCAGGAGCTCTCCTGGCCCTCATCTGGGATCTATCCATTGCTATAGATGTGAGAGGACAGAGGACAGACGCTAGAAACAGGGACTGCTGCTAAAAAGGAATGGAGGAAAAGAACTTGAAGCCGAGCTGAAGGGGAAATGAAAGGTCTTGAAAGAGGTATGTGGATGGGGGAGGCTGAGGGACTTCTCTGATAGAGAAGTGGGCATAAAGTGATTTCAGCTTCTGAGGAAGGAAATGAGAAAGCAGTGTGTGATACCACATGGGATGAGGGCATGACCTCAGCGTCATGTGGAGAGGCTTTCTCTGTCGTGTGTGTGTGTGTGTGTGTGTGTGTGTGTGTGTGTGTGTGTGTGTGTGTGTGCATGTTTACCTTTGTAAAAGACATCTCCCAGGATGGGCTTAGGGAAATGTCTGATGATGTGTCTAGGCAAGGGTAAACATGAGAGTGCCTGTGACTTGAATACTTGCAAGATGGAGCTAGAAGCTTGGGGAAACTAGTGATCAAGAAAGAGCTCTAGGCTTCCTGAAGGTGGACCAAATCCTCTGTGATTTCTGTGTTCTAATCAGAGGAAGTCTCATTCTTCTCAGATTATTCTTTGAGGATCTTAGGTGATTGGAAGGTTATACAACAACTTTCTTCTTTTTCCTTCAGTTTCATTCAAATTTGATATTCTTGGATTTTGGAGACTCTGGAAATTTTCTTTCTTTTTTTTTTATTATGAAAATACCATACCGAGGGGTTGTAACCGAGGGGTTACAATTACATGGGCAAGGTAATGAGTACATTTCTGATCAAGCATTGTTGCCTCCTCCTTTGTTCTCTCCCCCTCCCCCCACCAAAGTTGTAAAGTTCTTTTTTCAACATAACGACTTGTACATCTCATTGTTGCAATGGGTTCACCTGTATCCCTATTTAAATGATTTGTTTTTTCCCTTCCCCTCCACAAATTATACCATCAAATACAGTGAAAGCAGGGGTTATACCTTGGGGGAGGGACATACAAAGCAACAAAGAAATCATCTTATAACTACATTAGAAACACTAGCAAGAAAGAAAAATATTTGAATCCTTATCTTAGGGTTCATTTCACCTAACATCAACTTACCTGACCTTTTCTGCTTGTCTCAGACATATAATAGTTATTGCAAATAAGGGAAACCATGGGACCTATGTTTCTTTGGGTCTGGCTTACTTCACTTAATATATTTTTTCCAAGCCTTTCCATTTCCTAACAAATGAGGCTGTGTCATTATTTCTGATGGAGGCATAGTGTATATATACCACATTTTCTCGATCCATTCATCTACTGAGGGGAATCAGGGTTGGTTCCATGACTTAGCTATGGTCAAAACAACATTGAGATACCACCTCACCCCAGTTAGAATGGCTATAATCAAGAACTCTAATAACAACAGATGCTGGAGGGGATGTGGACAGAAGGAAACCTTACTGCATTGTTGGTGGGAGTGTAAACTTGTTCAACCACTTTGGAAAGTAGTATGGAGGTTCCTCAAAAAACTCCACATAGAGTCTCCTATGACCCAGCAATCCCACTTTTGGGCATTTACCCAAATGATCACAAACAAGACCACACTAAAGCTACCAGCACAGCTGTGTTTATTGCAGCATTATTTACCATAGCTAAGATGTGGAATTTTCCTGCTTATACTGCTGCCTCCCTTTCTTGGGTGAGTTAGTAGACAAGGGACTTTGTGTATAACACTGGCATGCTTAGGAGTTTAGATTGTTTTCAGGAAATCTATTGAAGTATCTTAAGTATAAAATGATTTGATCAAATTACACTTTGCTTCTTACTTAGTAACTCTGAAGCAGTGGAATAGATAGAGGAGATTTGCAGTGATGGTAGAGGTCAACCAGGTCACAAAGTTTCAAAGTGAATTGAGTGTCAGTGACTCTGGAGAAGAGCAGGTAGAACTTTGAGGTGGAGAGGATAACCTGATGACTGTGGGAGTCAAGAAGAGGGAGTTTCCACAGGGAGCTGTTTTCCACAAGTTGCTGTTTTCCTGATTTTATGTTTCTTTCCATGGTAGGGCTGAAGTGCCTGACCTATTTTGCTTGTTTCTTTGAGGGAGAATTTTCCCTAAATGTTATTTGTTTCTTATATCCTTTCTTAGTATCTCCTAGTGAATTATCTCCTTGGTAAAGCCCAGGATGAAATTAAGCATTTTTTTTTTTTTTTTGTCGTGGGGCTTGAACTCTGGGCTTGGACGCTGTCCTTGTGCTCTTCAGCTCAAGGCAAGTGCTCTACCACTTGAGCCACAGCACCACTTCCAGTTTTCTAGCCGTTTATTGGAGATAAGAGTCTCACGAACTTTCCTGCCTGGGCTGGCTTTGAACCGTGATCCTTACTCAGGAGGTCTCAGCCTCCTGAGTAGCTAGGATTACAGGCGTGAGCCACTGGCGCCTGGCTGAAATTAAGCATTTGTATTTTGGCACCAAATCTCTACCCTTTGCTTTTAGGACGATGCATATTTGGAGTTGGTTCTGGGGTTTGAACTCAGGCCCTGCTGTCTTGAAGCTTTTAAATGTTCAAACTTAGTGCTTTACAGTTTTGAGGCACAGCTCCACTTCTGGTATTTTGGTGATTAATAGGAGATAAGAGTCATAGACTCTTCACTCATGTTGGCTTTGAACTATGACCTCAGATGTCAACCTAAGTAGCTAGGATTCCAAAAATGAGCCATCAGTACCTAGCTGGACAATATGTTTTGATGAGATCACAAAATTAACTAAGTATGGATGATGGTTTTCATACCAATGCTGCATTTTCTCCTCTGTGATCACACACAGAAGTGAGCTGTCATGTGGAAATGCAATGTTCCATTATGATCTTCATTACGGGTCCATCAGGAAGTCAAAATGCATTCCTGGGTAGTCAATATGTTGCTCAAGAAAATGTTTAAAAAAGCCCACCAGGTTTGTAGTTGGGATTCCATGCATGGACATGTTAATCACCAGAATGCATTTTAATCCTGAACATCCTCCTACAGTTGGAAGTGCTGTGACAGATGAGATTACCCTGTCAATCTCCACATGCTCACATGCTTGGTGAGATACCTGTGGACCGATAGGTATTTTGGTGAATAAATATATGAATTAGACTCAGTAGAAGGGCTTATTCATAGTTTTATAGACGTGTGTACTAACAATGACCGCAATCTCATCACTAAGGCAGTGGTGGGTGCCTGGAGCAGTCACAGGAGCCGTGAGGCCACAAATTCTCCAATTTACAAAAGAACCATGAAGTCTCAAAGGGTAAAAAGGAGCAGAGATGAGTTTCAGGACACTGGAATTGGGAGGGAAGGCTGGGTTGATCAGAATAAGAGACACGATTGAGTGTAGAGGCACAGTTATGTATAGAAACTGGGCAACCATACAATTTCTCCTTTGTAATTTTACAGCTAGATGAAGTGACCTTTCTATGTCACACACCCCTTGGAAGAGGAACAGCTGAGGAAGAGAGTTACATGGGGGCAGAACTTAGTGAAAAGGAGGGTGGCTGGAAATGAGAGAGGAGGGAATGACTTGAGTTCAGAAGGGAGGGAAATGAAGGATGGAGTAGGAAGGTGAGGCTGAGAAAATACAAAGGTTTTCTTATATTCAGTTGCTGTTGGAAACCATTGTTTGTTGGTGGGAGAAGGAAGACAGAAGAGAGTTGAGGAAGGGTAGCTTAATTGCTAGCAGACATCAAAGATCAGCTTTGTTTAGAGAAGGAAACACACATCTGCTTATGCTATGCTGTTTTTAACTGCCACTGCTGGCTGCTCTCCTCCCAGGAGGAGAGGGTAGGGATATCTCTGTTGGCTGCTTAGTAGGGTGGATGGGAGTGGATTTGAGTGGGCTTTCCATGACGCTTTACGGTTAGTCCCAAGATGCTTATAATCTGCATCATTGTGTCCAAGTCCAGTTGATTGTTTTAGAGGATGGTGCTAGGGCACCAAGGGCTCTGGGGAAGGAAAATATTATTGATGAACTGGTTGTTATCCTTCTCTCTCTAGTAACTGGTTTGTTTTCTATCTTCTCTCTGTTTTGCTTATGTTTTCACTTATGCTACTGGACATTCATCCATCCATAGTGATCCATGAACATACCACATTGCGTCTCAGCCAGATCTCATACTACGCCAATGAATCCTGGGCACAAACTCTGGGGTCTGCTTGGCTGGATGAAATCCAGACTCATCGTTGGGACAGTGAAACAGGAACAGTAATTTTCTTGCACACATGGTCCATGGGAAACTTCAGTAATGAGGAGTTGACAGATCTGGAGCGGCTTTTCCGTGTGTATATGATTGGGATAAGTCAGGAGATTCATACCTACTCCACAGACTTGGGGCTTAGGTGTAAGTTAAACCAATTGGGGGAATTCTTCAGAGGGTTCTTGTAATTGAAACCCTTCTCTATTCCTTTGATGAAATTTCTCATCATCTCATCTCACAACAAAAGTCTACATGCCTCCATCTCTCGAGTTATATCTTGAACATTAATCAAAATTACCTAGATTTTTGCCACTTCAGCAGTCTTTTCTATTGTGCTTTGTTGTGTTTTCTTGTGATCTTCATCTGTGGCTTAAATTTGGAGGTAGAGAATTGTCTTATCCTGTGCTTGACTCTCTTAAAACATAATCCCTTCTGCTATTTCTTCAATTTCTTTGACATTTGTGTTCATTATCTAGCACTTGTGATGCTGACTCTTGCGTCATGAGATTTGGGCTCCCATCTCTCTGAAGTTCCTAGTCTGTATTATGTCAGTCTCACCTCTTATTTTCCCTGAACTTTTCAATCTCCTTTTAATTCAAATTATGTGTTCTCCCTTGTTTCTGACTGTATGTATCTTTGGCTCATTCTCCTACCTATGTAAGACCCTTCTTTCCATTCTCCATTTCCAGACAAGATCCTTAAATTCTAATATTGCTTTCAAATTTGTTATTTGAACTCTTTATCTCATTCTTTTCTTTCTCAAGATCCTGTTGAATTACAAGTGAGACTTGACTGTGAACTGTCCTCTAGAGAGAGCTCCAAAGGCTTCTTACAGGCAGCTTTAGATGGACCAGATTTTCTGAGTTTCCAAAGCAGAACTTGGGTGCCATCTCTGGAGGGTGGGAAACAGGCCCAGAAGGTGTGTGATCTCCTCAATCAGTATGAAGACATCAAGGAAACTGTGGAGAGCCTCCTGAGCAAAACCTGTCCCCAGTTTTTCTTGGGTATCCTGGATGCAGGAAAGATGTATCTTCAGAGACAAGGTCAGTTCAGCCCTTCCCTCTAAGGTGTTTTCTTCATGTCTTACCCTTCTCACCTTCCTGTTTGAACTCAGGACATGGTGGAGGACAAGAGGGAGTGGGTTGCAGGGTGAGAATTCCCTAAGGGAGACAGAAGACATTAGGCAGATATCTATGCACTGAAGCCATGTGTTAGGTGCACATCTGTCCTTATGGGACTCCCTCTTGTATTCTTTACAGTGAGGCCAGAGGCCTGGCTGTCAAGCTCCTCTATCCTTGGGTCTGGCAGACTAATGTTGGTTTGTGTTTGTTGAAAAATTAAACCTAACACTCAACAAAGTACTCTATCTAATTGGATTAACTCATGTTGGTAGATTTTTTTCCCCCTTGTATTCCTTCCTAACACTGTGACATTTGAAACATTCATGCGTCTCTTTTAATGCTAACATAGCTGAGAAATTCTAACATCCTAAAACTCTTTCTCCTTTTGGATATATCTGTAAGGAAATAGCACAGGTAACCTCCGTTATACATTAATTTGTCAAATTGTATTAAACTTAAAGTAGATGCATCCTGAAATTTCCCATCAACAGTATGATTGATTTTGAAATTTAGAATTTGAGATTATTATGTGTACTTGTATCATATAATGTGGTGTTAGAATGCACATGTACACTGTGACATGATTAAACCAGAGCAAATGATTAGATCAGAGCCCCAGATATATCCATTACCTTTACTTTAGAATCCTGACAATAAAATTTGAAATGAGGGGGCTAGGAAAGTGGCTCAGTTGTAGAGTGCTTTCCTTGCATGCATGAGGTCCTGGGTTCAATTCCTAAGCACCACATAGGCAGAAAAAACCAGTAGTGGTGCTGTGGCTCAGGTGGTAGAACGCTAGCCTTGAGCTGAAGAGCTGAGGGACAGAGCCCAGGCCTAGAGTTCAGGCCCCACGACTGACCCTCCCCCCCAAAAATAATTGAAATAAGGCTGTATGAGGCTTTCAGTTTTCTTTTTCTTTTCTTTTCTTTTTTTTTGGTGGAGGTCCAGTTGTGGGGCCTGAACTCTGGGCCTGAGCACTATCCCTCAGCTCTTCAGCTCAAGGCTAGCACTCTACCACTTGAGCCGCAGCTCCACTCCCAGCTTTTTTCTTTATGCTTATGTGATGCTGAGGAATCGAACCCAGGGCCTCATGCATGCAAGGCAAGCGCTCTACCAGTGAGCCACCTTCCCAGCCCTATCAGTTTTATTTTTCTTTCTGAGCATTATTGTGTTTATTCTGGGTATTCTGTGATTTCCTGTGAATTTTAGATGTTTTCTACTCTTACTTAAAAGGGCCTGTAGGATTTTTATGAGGTTATCAAATTAATCCGGAATATGTAAATGGTTTTTATTCTAGATAGAATATTTGTGTTAACACTATCAAAATTTCCAGACAATGATCATTGGATTTTTTTCCTATTTATTTTAACTTTCCAGATGAATGCATTGCAGTTTTCTATGTACTAGTTTTGAATATCCTTGGGTGTTTATTCCTAATTATTTTATTCTTTTTTATTTTTATTTTTTTGATCGGTCATGGGGCCTGACCTCTAGGCCTGGGTGCTGTCCCTCAGCTCTTCAGCTCAAGGTTAGTGCTCTACCACTTAGTCACAGTGCCACTTCCGGCTTTTTCTGTTTATGTGGTGCTGAGGAATCGAACCCAGGGCCTCATGCATGCAAGGCAAGCACTCTACCACTGAGCCACCATCCCAGCTCTACTTTATTCTTTTTTATGTTATTATAAGCAGGATTATTTCTTAATTTCCTTTTTGTAAATTTCCTTTTTGGTCAGTACTGGGCCTAGTGACTAGAGGCCTAGTCACTTTCCCTGAGCTCTTTTGCTCAAGGCTAGCTGTCTGCCATTTTGAGCCACAAGTCCACTTCCAGTTTTCTGGTGTCTAATTGGAGGCAAAGATCTCACAGTCTCTTCCTGCTCTGGCTGGCTTCTAACCACGAGCCTCAGATCTCAGCCTTCTGATTACAAGCATCAGTAACTGGCACTTAGTCTTAATTACCTTTTTTTTCCTTTTCTTTTTGTGCTTGAACTCTAGGCCTGAGCTCTGTCCCTGAGCTTTTGTGCTCAAGGCTATCACTCTACCACTTGAGCCACAGGTCCATTTTCAGCTTTTCATGGTTAATTGGAGATAAGAGTCTTAGGGACCTTCCTGCCCACATTGGCTTCCAACTATGATCCTCAGACCTCAGCCTCCTGAGTAGCTAATATTATGGGTATGAGCCATCAGTGCCAGGCTTTACTTTCCCTTTTAATATGATTTGTTATTAGTCTGGACAAAGAGAACTGATTACTGTATGTTGATTTTTTTATTTTGCAGTTTTTCTGAATTTGTTTTACTCATTATAGCAGGCACATGGAACTCATTCTGTTCTTTGCCTATCAGTTATACTTCATTCAAGTTGTTGAAAGATACAAATTAACTATGCTATGAAGATTCTGAGCTAAAAATAAAGTGTATGAGTTCATGTCCAAGTTCAGGATCAGATTAGATCTTGAGCTGGGACAGAGCTGAAGTAGTTGTGTGTATATAGCAGTATTCAGTAAACACCAGTTGAGTACATGAATAGACGAATGCATATATAAATCAGCATACAAATTAAAAATATACTTGTTATAAAATAATAAACATGCTAAATGACATGAAAACATACTTGTCATATGGTTGACTATTATTACTTGATACATTTTTCATTTTTTTATTTTTTTGGGTCTGGTCATGGGGCCTGAACTCTGGGCCTGGGCGCTGTCCCTCAGCTCTTCAGCTCAAGGCTAGCGCTCTACCACTTGAGCCACAGCCCCACTTCCGGCTTTTTTCTTTTTGCTTATGTATGCAAGGCAAGTGCTCTACCACTGAGCCCCCTTCCCAGCCCTTGATACATTTTTAAAAATGTGATACAATAATGCATTTCCTTTTGTTTCCTCTGTATGGATTAGTTGTTATTTTGCTGCTCCTGGGGCTTGAACTCTGGGCCTGGGCACTGTCCCTGAGCCCCTTTCTGCTCAAGGCTAGCTCTGCCATTTGAGCCCGAGTGCCACTTCTGGCTTTTTCTTAGTAGTTTATTAAAGATGAGTCCCCTGGACTTTCCTGACCAGACTGGCTTCAAATGGCAAACCTCAGATCTCAACCTCCTGAGTAGCTAGGATTACAGGCATGAGCCACCAGTGCCTAGCTTGCTTGGATACCTTTTAATGATCACCAACCCATTGTTAAAATTTGTCCATTCAACAGAACCTCAAGGACTTGGAGTTAATGGAAAACATTCTGCTAAGAATGTGGAAACAAAGGTTCAAGGAGGTAAATTGACCTTTCAAAAGTAAATATGAGCTATGCTGAAGTCATTTGAAGGAATTGGGGTAGGCATAAAAAGAATTAAAGTCGAGATTAGAGTGGAAGTGAGAATGCTGTAGGCATCCCAGCACTCTGCAGGGCACATTGTATTCTCTGACATACAATTTGTATGAAGATAATTGTTGGCCAGAAGAGACAGGAAGTCGCTACAGAGCAGAAACGTTGCTGAATCAGAGATCAAACACGAGCCCTGAGAGTCTGATGTGATCTCAGGGAGATGTTGCACCTGCTGCTGTGTTGAGCTCTTCTCTTCCCAGGTGTGGAGAACAGCATGGTAAAAGTAACTCTGCAGCTCCCTGTTGCAAAGGCTCTGTACTTAGCCAGGTATACCTGGCCACTAAGTCTCTGAGCCTTGGTGTCTTCAGCTGTCTTCCATCATTCTGGAAGTTGGGGCTGGAAAGAAGCCTGAGTCTCTCCAATAGGCTTGTCCTTATGGGTTGCACAGAGTCTGGGGTCTTCTTTTCTACATCTTTTCAGGATCCAGGTCTTATTGCCTTCTCATATTTCTTCCTTTCTCGTCACCATGTTTCCTTTCTTTTAGAGCCTTCCCTGGATCAAACTCTTTCCTTGTCATCCAAATTTCATCTTTTGCCAACAGCACCTGGGTGCAATTATCAAGGCTCAGGCTGTCTAGGTGAACTGCAGACTCATGGGCTAGGACAGTGACTCAGGCACTGCCATATTACTAAAGGACTGGTGCAAGGGCAAGTTCGGTGAAGAGGAGACAGCTGAGCTGGTGAGCTGAACTCTTTGGGATCTGTCTTCACTCTCACTTGAGAACTTCAAGTCAGCATCACTGAGTTCAGTTGGAATGTGAATCCAGAACTCAGACCAGGCAGGATCCAGGGACTTTTCAGTCTTTGGTTCAGGACATTCTCCTCCCCTCCTTTCTCTTCCCCTGCCTTCTCTCCCTTCCCCTCCATTCTCCTTCCCTTCCTCCCTTCCTCCAGTTTATTCAGCATTGGAGAAAAAGAGATCAGCTGGCAGTTAAATTATGTGCTTCCTTTTATTTATTATTTGTTTACTATTATTTAATATTCATACTTCAAGTTTTGTTTATTTTTAATATCATGACTTTAAGTCATGGGTCAAGATATTTAGTGAAGGTTTTCCTTGTGTTTCTCATTTTGAATGGACCCTAGTTTGCAGTGAAAGAAGGATTTGAATCACTGGTCTCACTCAGGCTAATTTCTTTGGGCCCTGATCTCATTTTTTGAACAATGTAGATTGTGTTTCTCAACATAAGATTTGTTTCTGCATTATAAGGGAATACTTCTCAAAACTTTATGCTAATAAGTTTGAGAACTTGACAGAAATGGACCTTTTCCTAGCAAATATTGACATGCCAAAACTAAACCAAGATGAGTTGAACTATCTTAACAGGCCCATATCAAGCACTGAAATAGAAACAGCATTAAGAGACCTCCCAGCTAAGAAAAGTCCAGGACCAGATGGTTTTACGGCGGAATTTTACAAAGCCTTCAAAGCAGAGCTCACACCAATACTCCTCCAACTCTTCAATGAAATTGAAAGAGAAAGCTCACTACCGAACACATTCTATGAAGCCATCATAACCCTCATCCCAAAACCAGGCAGGGACTCATCAAAGAAAGAGAACTATAGACCCATTTCTTTGATGAATATTGATGCAAAACTTCTCAACAAAATTTTGGCCAATCGACTTCAACAATTCATTCAAAAAATCATACACCACGATCAAGCAGTATTCATTTCAGGGATGCAAAGCTGGTTCAATATACGCAAATCAATTAATATTATTCATCACATCAACAGGAGCAAGAATAAGAATAAGAATAAGAATAAGAATATTGGTTATCTCAATAGACGCAGAAAAAGCATTCGACAAGATCCAACACCCCTTCATGATGAAGGTTTTGGAAAAATTA